GATGGTCGCTACTACCGGCCCGGGGAGGACTTCTGGGCCGATGAGACCTGCCGATCTCAGTGCAGGTGTGACCCAGAGGTGGGCATGGTGGTGTGCGAGGACGCCGGCTGCAAGGCGGATGAGAGGTGCGCCGTGGTGAAGGGCGTGAGGCGGTGCGTGGCCAAGAGCCGCTCTGTCTGCGTGGCCACCGGCCCACTACACCACCTTCGATGGGCGCCACTATGACTTCATGGGCACCTGCGTCTACCAGCTGGCCGCCCTCTGCTCTGATGACACCACCCTTGTCCCCTTCCCCATCACCGTGGAGAACAACAACCGGGGCAGCCGCGTGGTCTCCTACACCAAGGAAGTCACCTTGAAGGTCTACAACATGACCCTCAGCCTCAGCCAGGCGCACCCCCAGAAGCTCAAGGTAGGGGAGAACAAGGTGCCGGGTGGGTTGTGAGGTCCCTGCATGACGTTGGAGTGGGTTACAAACCCATTGCAAGGCATTTGGTTGGGCTGCAAGGTCCTCGTAGGGTATTTCAGTGGGTTTGGGTGGGTTGCAAGGTCTTCATAGGGTGTTTCGATGGGTTTGGGTGGGTTGCAAGGTCCTCATATGACGCTGGGGTCGTTTGCAAACCCATTGCATGATGTCCTGTGGAGTTGCAAGCCCATTACAAGGGTGGTGCATGGTGTCCTGCTGGGTTACAAACCCATTGCAAAACAACTGGGTGGGTTGAAAGGACCTTGCATGATGTCTGGGTGGGTTGCAAGGACCTTTCATGGTGTCCTGCTGGGTTGCAAGGTCCCTGTATGACATTGGGGTGGGTTGCAAGGTTGGCATGTGGCTCCCTGCTGGGCTGCACGGTCATTGCATGCTGTTGAGATGGGTTGCAAACCCATTGCAAGGCATCTAGGTGGGCTGCAAGGTCCTTCTGCAGTGTTTCGGTGTGTTGCAAGGTCCTTGTAAGGCATTGGGTGGGATACAAGGTCTCTGCGTAGTGTCCTGTTGGGTTGCAAACTCATTGCAAGGTATTTGGTTGGGTTGCAATGTCCTTGGATGGTGTCCTGTGGGGTTGCAAGGTCCCTGTATGACCTTGTGGTGGGTTGCCAGGTCTCTGGGTGGTGTCCTGCTGCATTGCAAACTCATTGTGTGGCATCTGGGTGGGTTGCAAGGTCGTAGGATGGTGTTTAGGTGGGTTGCAAGGTCTCTGCATGGTGTCCTGAGGGGCTGCAAGGTCCCTGTATGACCGTGGGGTGTGTTGCAAGGTCCCTGCGTGGTGTCCTGCGGGGTTGCAAGGTCCCTGTATGACCTTAGGGTGGGTTGCAAGGTCCTTGCATGGCATTGGGGTGGGTCGCAAGGTCCTTGCGTGGTGTCCTGTAGGGTTGCAAGGTCCTTGGGTGGCGTTGTGTAACCCATGGTGCGCTTCCAGGTCAACGACATTCTGGTGGATCTGCCCTTCAAGCACGGCACCCAGCTCCAGGTCTACATCAGCGGCGTCCACGGCTTCATCAAGACTGACTTCGAGGTCATCGTCACCTTCAACTGGCACAGCTACGCCAGGGTCATCCTCCCCAACACCTACGCGCGATCCGTCTGCGGCCTCTGCGGCAATGCCGACGGCAACCCCCAGGACGACTTCGCTTTGCCCGATGGGCAGCAGGCTGCCGACGAAATCCGATTCGCCGACTCCTGGAAGGTGGCTGACGTCCCCGGTTGCTGGGCCGGTTGCGCCGAAGGTTGTGAAGGTTGCACCGAAGCGGAGAAACGCGCCTACCGCGGCGACAAGCACTGCGGGCTCCTGGTGAAGCAGGGCGGACCCTTTGCCGCCTGCCACGGCGCCGTCGACCCGACCTCTTACTTCGACGACTGC